GCCACAACTGTCTCCTGTCTATTCAGGAACATTTAATAAACATCAAAAGTAGCTGCATAGACTATGTATCTTTCCGTGGCCGGTAACTACCTAAACCTTTTGGCAGCAGCTCTTCCCTTTCCAAAAACTTTTGTAGTTAAACAGCAAAAATCTTTCCTAGCACCTTGCCAAAAGTATTTCGTAGGGTGAAAATCCTGAAACCGGTCAATGATCTTTGCTTGGTTTTGGAAGAAGGATCAGGTAGCGGTGTACCCAGTCATAGGCTACTACCGCTGCTCTGATTGAAGTGAAATGCCATCAAGTGCCTCAAGTCTTCATCACTCCTGCTCTCCATGTGGACATACCTAGCGCCTTCTAGCCCCGGCGAAGTGTTTTTTACTTTTTGCAAAAGTCACCATTTGAACTTGAAAACCAAATCTCAACAATGCCATTGACAGGCTCTGGCCCTAGTACGCATTTTCAAACGTCCATTATTTCCCATTCTACAACGTAAATTAGATTGTGGTTTCAGGTACTCACACGTAATACAGATTTGATTTACTGTCAGATTAACAAACATTGTTTAAGCATGCAACAAAATGCAGCAAACCTTTGTGCTGAGTGTTCGGGTTTTAATCGGGTTTTAAAGACAAAAACAATTACTTGAACTGACATTTTTGTTTCAAAGGGGAGGGGGATATTGTTTGTTTTAAAATGCTTCATATAGCAAAGACTGTTGATAACATTGCTAAGATGTGCTTTCTGCGGCCTAGTCATGACTTAATTGAACCAGTGCCAGGTAAAGCTGTATATATGCATATATATAAACTATGGTGGGGGTGACTGAACCCATATCACCCACTCTTTGAAAAGAATATGACTTGGGTATTTTTGAAACATTTACAGTTACAGCCATAGCTCAGCGAAGTCGCTTGTCCGATGTTGACATGACAAGCAATAGCATGGCTGCAGGGTGATGTAGAGGTGCCCAAAGTTGCTATTAGATTAGGAGTTGCGGCGTGATTTCTTTGCTGGTGCTTTCAACAGACATTCGATAGTGTTTACAAATAATTGGATACAGAAGGATCATCACATAAAGATGATGCGCATGGGATATAGGAGAAACTTTGGATAGTAAAGTGCACGAGGCGGAAGAGCTGACGAAACATCGAGTGTCTTCCGTTGAGATTTTGTGGTTACAAAAGAGATATCTACGGAAACACTCGTACTGGACACAGCAGAAATTCTGCAGACTTATGAACGAATGCTGTTAGAAGAAGCGAGATTAGATAAAATAACAGGGCGTGAACCCAGGACCTGAGCATCGTGTGTTTGCTGTACATTTATGTAAGCCTCCGTGAAAGCCCGTCATACGTCCCTGCCTTCTCATGACAGTGTACTCAGTGTTGCCCTGGATGAGTCCCCCAGGTGCAACACCTGTTAGTTAGTAAGTTAATCGACAGATTCTCCTCATTGGTTATCGAAACATTAAGTCCATAAGTGCTTGGATCTACTCCTTAGTATATCCGGCAACGTGTAGCGGATGACGACATCAATTTTTGTGTTGGTTTCTTATTCTTTGGCTTCTTGCTTTGTGTTCTGATCTGGTTTTAAAATGTTGTTCCTGCAGTCTGATCATGATTGCTCATTCACAGTCATCACTTGGTTCTCGCAAACGTCTAACATCTCGAAGAGCATTTAGAATATCTGCCTGGTTACCGGCTCTGTTAGCTTGCTGATTCTCTTTCATACCTGCTTAACCTGGCCCCCCAAAAATAAAACTTATATATGTCAGCCCCGACAGCTTTAGAGACTCAAACCAATGTCTTCGGACCCAGCTCATCTCTCTCGAGACACGTGTAGATAAAGGGACAGAGGACATGACTCTTGTTCAACGAAACCAAACGGATAGGCTAACCCGGTAAACAAATGCCCGATGAAGTCGGATGTGTCGGCTGAAAGGCCTAAATAACGTAGCTTTGCTATAAACAGGCACACCCCAGTTACCTCACTCGAATGAACGAAAAGAATAAGAAGAAATAACGTGTAAAGGTATGTGAACGAGTATTTACCTGTGGATCCGGCAAGGAGCGCTAGACATAGTATAGGGTAGTAACTCTCCGGTTATGTTACAATAGTTGCAAGCTAAACATTCAAAAGTACTCAGTCTCTGAATATACACACCTATCACAAGAGTCACTGGAAAGCCTTCGTAACACACTTTGAAAGATGCCCTGCAACCACCCGAAGCTTGGATAAGAAATGGAGTAAAACTGTAAGTATGTCCTTCCCGACATTTATCATTCGAATGTTCATGTTGTACTTCCATGCTTCTGACTTGCAAGGGTAATCCCTGGGCATCTACTGACTTCTTCTGCGCTGGACTTTCAGACGTGCTAGACAGCTCGACAGTCACACATGCTCCTTGTTCAGCTGTTGGGAAACGTTTGCTGGTATTATTAATTGTATAGTAACATTGACGACATGTATCAGATTGTCAGTCAGTGCCAGATTGAGACTTTATGAAGCCCTAAGCTGTTTAACCATCTGAGGCCCTTGATTTTGAAATTAGACCAGCTAATCCCAGAAAACTGTAAAATATTTGCGTTTTTAAATATATGGATAATGGAGAATCAATGTCGTGTAAAATGTATTAACTCTTTCAGTCCCACGCAGTTATTACTTTCATGTCCTTCTTTTTCACGAAATGGGACTTGAAATGAATCAATACTTTAGCCTAAAGGAGTTGAGCAACGACACTTTGGGGCTGGTATAATTAAATTAATAATTCCGATACAAGGAGTTTTGTACGAGCTATCTCTGATAGAAGTAAGCAAGCATATCAAATCATCTTTGGAACGATTAAGGAGCGTATGGTGAGTTGGGTGGTGCTGAAATAGTTAAAATAAAAAATAAAAATAAAACATATGCTAGTACCGTTTAACTATTATTGAAAATAATAATAAAGAATGTGTTTGCCAAATTACATACATTAAACTATAGTCCTCATAAAAAGGCTAGAGGTAACAAATAAAAACAGTGGTTTCCTGTGAAATATGAATTCTCTGAGGCCCTACAGAATGTGAAGTCGTCTTCTTAAAGTCCAGGCCGTGTGGCGTTGGCAGTCCTGTCTATCCACAACCTTCTGTCTCGTGTACTTTCAGTCAACTCTGACGCAGATGATCCTCCATGCCATGATGTCAGACTGTCCAGCATTTTTTTTTCTCGGTCTCCCTCTGCCTCTCCTCCAACTTTCCCACCGTCATAATGTACTCCAGTTTACCCCCAACTCATCACATGACCAAAGAATGTAGATTGTCTGTTTCCGATGTGGGCAATGAGTTCTCTTCGTGAGTCAGTTTCTTTCAAGACATAATCATTACCCTTTGTATCTGTCCAGGGTATTCTCATATTTCGTCGCAAAACCACATCACCGCAGCTTGCAAATAATTTTTCACTAATCTGCCAACTGTCCATGATTCACTTCCGTATATGAAGATAGGATTTATATAGCTTTTAAGAGTTCTCTTTCTTGTTTTGAAGCCGTGTGCTTTAGATATATGCCTTAATCCAGGAATGTATTCAATGTAAGTTGGATGCTACAGTTTAATTCGTTAGACTGACGCTGTTAAGTCAACATTGACAGTTCAGTTAGCAGGATATATTCTACAAAGAGCTGCTGCACTTAAATAAATGGTTTGGTCAATTATTCTGCATCTGCCTTCTATCCTCAAGTGGGACACAGGACCTCAACCAATTCACGCCAAGTCGTTCTATCTTTTGCTTGTGCATGCAGCTCTTCCCATGTTCTTCCCATCTTTTTAACTTTCCTCTCTAGCTCCTTTCTCTGTTAGTTTTTTTTTTTTTTTTCTTTTGCCTTTACCTCTGCGCCCTTGTTGGTTCCAGTGTACTGACATTACAGTAATACTATTCTCAGGTTTTCGCACCATGTCTTCTATCCAACACCAGCGTCTTTTCCTCACCTCTTGGTCTATTTAAATTTGTTTAGTTATTTCCTAGAGCTGAGACATTAAAAAACATACATAATGGTTGCGCCACCAGTGAGACTTATTGCGACGAGGCCGGCAGCAAAAGCGTACAACAAGAAATTGGAAATACTAAGAGAGGAAGACATAGTAAAACGTTTATAAATGGAGTCCTTGCCAGTTTTTACAAGGTCGCATCAAACCAAGCAAAAGACTTTCCCCTGGCTTGACTACCTATCATCTGGTAAACTGACGCACAGCAGTTGGGTTTTTTTTCCCTAGAAACCATGAGTTGTTAACCCTTCGGCTCGATACTGTAAGTATCGCAACCTTTCGGCTTTGATTCCATGACAGATGCCGTAAATCGGAGGTATATGTGGCTTTTCTGCCTACACTCGGGCGTGAACTCGGTGTGTTACAATGTGATTTATCTGTGAATGTTACAAAGTGATTTAAATCTGTGAGTGCTACAATGTGTTTAATCTGTGGGTGTTACAATATGATTAATATGTGAGTGTTACAATGTGATTAATCTGTGAGTGTTAAAATTTGATTAATCTGTGAGTGTTACAATTTGATTATTCTGTGAGTGTTACAATGTGGTTAATCTGTGAGTGTTACAATTTGATTATTCTGTGAGTGTTACAATTTGATTATTCTGTGAGTGTTACAAAGGGATTTAAGCTGTTAGTGTTACAGTGTGTTTAACCTGTGAATGTTACAATCTGATCAATCTGTGAGTGTTACAACGTGATTAATCTAGAAGCATGCACACGGTTACTGGAGTGGCCGGGGGTCTTTGTATGCCTTCGTAACAAGCTTCATAACGTGCCATCTTTAATGTAGAAAATTCTGCTACAGTGACAACAAAGCCTGTTGGTGGGAAAAAATGCACCTCGATGCATGGTCAGTTAGACAAATCTGTAAAGGGGTTTTCATTAGCAAAATTATTATAAATCTGTGAAAACAACTTTGTCTAACTGACCATCAGGGGAAGACCATAAACAGAGGTGATAAATCTAGAAGCACACATACCTATGACTGGAGTCGTTGTGGTCGTTACTTGTATGTCTTCGTAACAAACCTCGAATGTGGCCCTACAACCACCTCTAGCCTGGATGGCAGATCCCGTAAATCTGTAAGTCTTTCCTGGCAGACATTTAGCCTTGGAATATCTTTCTTGCAAAATCATGCTTCTGACCTCCAACGGTGATCCTTCGGCGTCTACTGACTTCTTCTCTGCTGGGCTGTCAGGGGTGCTGGACAGCTCGACAATCACACAGGCTCCCCGTTCGGCTGAGGAGAAATGCCTACTATAAAATAGCTTCAGTGTCGAGGTGACATCGAGAAAGAAATTCACTAAATTTTATGACGCTGAATGGTGGCTTCACGTAACACCCCTCATTCGAGGAACTGTTGCATAGGATTTGTGTTAGCGTATTATTGTTGTTAAACAGGAAAGATCAAGAGAGACTCTACTAGAACCATCATCGTTGAAGGCTCAACCATGGGCCCAACAACAAACATCCAAGACCTGAAGCAGGTGGCAACGAACCGCCAGACATGGAGAGCTGTGACCTCTGCCTTATGTGCCGCCCTAGGCCCTAGAGAAAAGACTAACTAATTATTATTGCTGTTAGAATCTTTGATAAAGTCCTTGGTCTAAACGTTCCGTTGTATCTTCTCCTCCCTCCTCACCCCGCCCCATCCCCATTTTCTATTTATTCTCTTCGTTTACCTGACCTATTTATAGTTTATGTTTAGTGAGTTGACCCCCACCCCCATGTGGGCTCTTACAGCCCATTTAGACGGTGATGGAGAATAAACTCACAGTTTCTTCTTAAAAAGCATGTCATAGTCGGCTCTGTGGCTAAGTCGATGCGAACGCTTCGTAATGCCGCGATGCCAGGTTTGATCCCAGCTGAGGATCATGCGCCTTGCGTTGGTTTTGACAGTGGTACCAAGAAAGCCGACCGTCCAAAAAGCAATGGCAAACTACTGGACGTAAATTTGCCTAGAAAACCAACACAACAGCCAGGGGCTGTTGGGGTTGGTTCTGCCACGCAACTAACCTTAAGCATGTCGTAAAAACGTACTAATTAACGGTTTGCTAAAATCAGATGTGTAAGACCGAAAGTCACACATATTGTACTTTAGCAGTAAACCACAACATAACATGCCTACCTCCCTATTGTGAATGAATGTAGAATCATAAAACATTCCATTGATTATGTGCTAGAGTTATTTAGATTAGAAATAGAGGAACGCTTTCCTCTATGCAATACAATTTTAAGGTATAATATAATAAATCTAGCACGTTTTTTTAGACACAATATATATATAGTATATATATATATATATCTATATATCTATATATATATATATATTATATAATATCAATGTTTGTGTGTTTGTTTCACACCCCTAGACTGTCACTCGTTAGAGATAGGTGACCACAATTTATGACAAAAATACGCAACTAATATAACTTTAGTGTTTCAATTATGCCCCGTTAGTAATTGCGCATGCGCNCACCGTTCCCCACACACCCCCCCCCACACACAAAAAAAAAAACACCCCAAAACCCACCACAATCCCCATACATTGGGAACAGTTTTTCTAAACCTGAAAAGAAAAAAAAAAATTGACGATTTTTCCGAATTGTTTGCCAGGACGAACTCCGGAAAATCTGCATCTTATTTTGATCCGAGATGACAGTCTTGCCGTGGTTTTAAAATTATGTGTGGATTACACCCCAAGAAGTTTGTCACAGCGCCCCTGAAATTTTCTATTTATTTAGCCAGTTCTGCAGCCCTATATGCTTTCACAACCAATGTCTCTTCAATGTCGTTTGTCCACCTTCACGCAGGTCAGATTCTGCCTCGTTTGTCAAAAGCTGTATCCAGCATTTCCTAGCCTAATTAGGTGATTTCAAAGAAATACCAGGTGCTTTATTATTATCCTACCCCCAGATGATGTCACAGGACAGTCCGATATTTTAGAGGGTAGTAAGAATGGGTTTCTCAGCTTTCTGATGCTTTTAATGACCCGAAAACATCTAGAAGTGCCCCTAACCTCAACCCACCTACGTAAGATTGCAGCCTAGGTCCTACGTCTGATGCAGCCTATCTACCACCCCCATAAATATTAGACTGTCCCGATACCTGTGGATTTCAACTGTCTGAGGTAGGATATTAATAAAGCACACAATACCTATTTAGATTTGAATGAATTAAACGGAGACACTATTGAACAGAAAGAGTCAAACTTAAAATTGAATTTAAAAAAAAAAAGAAAAAAGAAAAAAATGTAATATATTATATGTTTCTGACAGAAGAGAGCAAAAACAGCCTATTGTCTTATGAATGACAACGAAACATGTGAAAAGTTGTGTACTACTAACAGTGAGAAAGAGTAGCTCAAGAAACAAAATACCCCCTGTCCTCCCCCCCCCCCCCCCATTTCCATTTCCCCCTCTGCTTCTTGTCCATCAAGCCCCCAATACATAGTACGTTGACTAGTACACCTGAGTAACCCCCCTGCCTTTGGTACCAGAGTTACTGAGTGCATGACGGGCATGACGGGCATGACGTTTTCTTCCGACCCCGAAGCCTTGTATTTAAATTCGCATTGAATCAGAATTGTTGTTTTCAGACATGACCATATCTACAGTGAGTACCATGTGAGGTCCAGAGACCCAAAGGTGGCGTCGTAATCGCAACATCAGCCACTGCATGCCGACTGGCTTTTAAACCCATGAGTCCAGCATTATACACCCAACTAAAAATTAGTTTTTAAAGTAAAGGTACCCTTTTCACGCCTTTAGGCTTATAGGGCCTTTATTTTTGTAGACGAATCGGCACAAGATGGGTGATCCGGTCATATTTACTTCCCAGGACTGCACACAGTACTCACTTAAGGCTAGGTCGACCTGGGAGTAGAGATAATTTTTGAAGAAAGTCCGGCTCCGCTACAGAAAGAACCCACGACCTTCCAATCCACACGCGAGCGTCTAGCCGCTACGCCACGGCGACTACTATACACCTAATCAACCACTGATAATGGTACTTTACATTTTTTTTAATCGAATGTAAGATCCCAGATTTGTATTTGAACAGAACAATCCATAATTGATGGGTGATGTGATCAATGTCGGATTTTGAATTAAGTAAGAATCTACATCATAGCTTTCGGAAAAATCCAATAAGCACTCCGTCCCCACCTTCAGCAGCAATCGAAAAGTTACAGTTCCGATAGTACCAGCAACTGTCTGATTGTATTTCCATCTCATCCTTCTCCTTGAGTGCTGAGCGTTGACCAGATCCCCTGGTAACTCCTCGCAGCTCTAATCTCCTCAGGCCGTAATGGTCTATCTGTGCCTCCGCACTGTTCACCAACTCCCAAAGAGCCCTTAAAAAAATATTGATGGAATCGATGTCATGAGGACCCTTTGCCCCCCCCCCTTCTTTTCCCCAGCCTTTTACACAGCACCCCACTTTTCAGGATACGGACGGTCGGCTTCTTTGATACCACAGTCGAAACCAACGCAAGGCGCATGGCCCGCACTTTGGATCGAACCCAGCATCCAGGCATTACGAAGCGTTCGCATCGACTTAGCCACAGAGCCGACCATGTATGACAATATAGATTTGATAAAGGCCATTTTGGAGAAATTGAGCAATGGGGAAGCTCGAGTAGATTTTCAGCGGTAAGCCAAAAGTGGGTCTGGCAGACACTCAACGCTCAGAGGAAGGGCAAGACAGACATGTAATAAGATTGTTTTTAACACCATTTGTATTGGAACTCTAAAGATAGGATCGGTACGCTTAATGGACTTATCCATGTGTTGTGATACTGTCAATTATTAGGCCAGTCACATGATTCCATATTGAATCTCCCCACCCACGCTGAGTGGACTAATTAGGGGTGTTTCAAAGGAACCAAAGTCTGCACACAATAAGCTAGATATGTAAAATGGATGTGCACACAAAACTCAAGTCCTTGAGAAGACTGATGTCCAGCAGTGGCTGAACCACTAGAACTTTCCTCTGCGGTTTACTGCCGAAGAACGCCTAGAAGAAATCTACTGATATAATGACAGGGTGACGACGACGATGATGACAGGGTATCGACGACGGTGATGACAGGGTAACGACGATGATGATGACAGGGTGACGACGATGATGATGACAGGGTAACGATGATGATGACAGGGTGACGACGATGATGACAGGGTAACGACGATGATGATGACAGAGTAACGACGATGATGATGACCGGGTAACGACGATGATGACAAGGTGATGACGACGATGATTACAGGGTAACGACCATGATGATGACTGGGTAACGACTATAATGACAGGATAATGACGAAGATGATGACAGGGTAACGACGACGATGATGACAGGGTAACGACGACGATGATGACAGGGTAACGACGATGATGATGACAGGGTAACGACGATAATGACAGGGTAACGACGATGAGGATGACAGGGTAACGACGATAATGACAGGGTAACGACGATGATGATGACAGGGTAACGACGATGATGACAGGCTAACGATGATAATGACAGGGTAACGATGATAATGACAGGGTAACGATGATAATGAGAGGGTAACGACGACAATGACAGGGTAACGATGATAATGACAGGGTAACGACGACGATGATGACAGGGTAACGACGACGATGATGACATAGTAACGACGATGATGTTGACAGGGTAACTATGAGGATGACAGGGTAACGACGACAATGATGACAGGGTAACGACGACAATGATGACAGGGTGACGACGACGATGATGACAGGGTAACGACGATGATGATGACAGGGTAACGACGATAATGACAGGTTAACGACGATGATGACATAGTGACGACGATGATGACGACAGAGTAACGACGATGATGATGACAGGGTAAAGACGACGATGATGACAGGTTAACAACGATGATGATGACAGGCTAACGACGACGATTATGACAGGGTGATGACGACGATGATGACAGGATAACGATGATGATGACAGGGTGACGACGATGATGACAGGGTAACGACGATGATGATGACAGGGTAACGACGATGATGATGACAGGGTAACGACGATGATGACAAGGTGATGACGACGATGATTACAGGGTAACGACGATGATGATGACTGGGTAACGACTATAATGAC